GCAAACACACTATTCCAGTTTCTCCACTTCATTTGATTGGAATGAATCCCGTGCAGGATTGGTTTCCCGTTTTAATGGGCAGAAGGTCTCTCCCAAAGGGAAAAGGCTGTCTGGCATTACATTTAATAAAGTTTACTATGCAAGTTAAATCTCTGTGAGACAGGACTTTGAAAAAAATCAGCAGTTCTTAAAATAATCCCCCTGCTCTCCTGTGAAGCTTAATAGATATTAGTCTTTGCAGGGACTGAAAAAGGCAAGCAATTAATCTCTATTTTGTAAATATGGAATGGTTATGTGATGGTCTAATGGAACTTTGGTAAAATAATTATATCATTTTCAGAGTTACTGCTGCTGTCCCATAGCACCAAATGCTAATGGAAAGTTTTAGCCAGATAAGTACCCTAAAGCAAGATGAAAATCAAATGTCACAATAATCTTTATTCCATTTCAGAGCTTAGGAGGCTACTGAAATACAACAGTGTGATCATGGGTTCATCTTAAAAATATAAAGTATTACAGGTTTGTACAATGGGAAAGAGAGTTGGGAAGATGCTTTATAAACCTTTGGGATTCTCCTTCAGCCAGAGACACAAAGCAACTTAATCTGATGAAGATAAAGTAAACTACACTTAGAATGGAACCTTAATATCTTCAGCCTGTTACTTGAGGACACATGGAGGTATTTTCCTCTTTGATGGAAAAATCTCCTTCCATTGGTAGAACTCTCTTACAATTCAGCACTATACCTTGTTTTCCCACACAATCACTTTGTGGGCTAGCAGATATGTGCTTGTGTGGTATCCATAAAACGTGCAGTCTGCTTTTTACAATTTTGCCTGTTCTTGCAGAAAATATGCAAAAAGCCTCCACCAATCAACTGCACAGTTCCCCCCACCATATAGCTGAGTGTGAAAACACATGTGATAGAGGGGGTATGCATATTTGGGCACATGGATTTGCACAGAGAGAACCCCCCTTCATGGTTCTAAGATCCTCTACTTTATTGGGTGGGGGGTGGATCTGGCACTTTTCAGTGTCCTGCATCTTTTCCATCCTTTGCTGGGACCCTAGATGTGCAGAAAGCCAGAGAAGTATGAGCCACCCCTTTTACAGGAGCATGGCTCAAAGTTCAGGCTCCCTGTAAAAAAGTGGGCTTTGATGGTCTGTCAGGGTTTTTTTTTAACAAGGAAATATGAATAGACATATGTCTATGGCCCTGTTGAACAAACAAACTGGGTGTCAAAAATCCAGTTTGAAAAGAAAGTCCAAGTTTTGATAGCTTTGCATTAGTAGTAGTGGAGGCAGTAGCAGTAGTTGTTGTTGCTATGTGCTGTCAAGTCATCTCTGCCTTATGGTGTTATTGTGAATGAACACCCTTCAGAATGTCCTATCCATGTCAGCCCTGCTCAGCTCCTGTAAGCTCAAGGCTGTGGCTTCCTTTATGGACTCAATCCGTCTCATATTTGGCTTTCCTCTTCTTCTTCTATCTTCAGCTGTCCCGAGCGTGTCATCTCCAGGGGCCTTTGCTGTGCCCAAAGTATGACAGCTTCTAGTCTGGGGCTGTCTGAAGATTGACCGTTGTTCTATCACACGGTCTGGAATTTTGGCAGTCTGACAGTCGGAGTGTTTGGGTGTCTGTCCTGCAGTGAGATAGCCTGCCTTTCAGTCTAACAGCCGGGCTTTCTGTGTAGCAGCATGACTGTGTTGCAGCATTCCTATATGACAGTCTGGTTATCTGTGTGGCCATCTCTGTGTCATGCTCTCAATCAGCCTCTCTGCCTGATTCATGTAGCAGCCACAAGCAAATTAAACGCACCATGCAATAATTAGCACAAAGTAGCATCACTGGAAGGCTATTAACTGACTGGGAAAAAATCAAGGCACTTTTAGACAAGGATCTGGCTTTTAATGAGGTTTGTCTATTTACTACATAACAACCCCACCAGTCTAGATTTTTGAATGACATCTGAATGTCCCCAGATTTTCTAAAGCAGTTTGCGATGTGGATCTAACATTGGATCTAACAAGGGCACTCTCATCACCTTGTATCCTGGGATATATCCTGAGGCAATTTGGTGCTGATCATGCAGAGTCACTGCATTCAGAATCACTGCATTCTGCTTCCACTTTCCTTGTGGAGAAAGTGTGCTGCTCTTCCCCACAGTGGGCCGTCCGTTCTGTAGCTCAGTAGGCATTGCACAGAATGGAACATCTGATCTGCTGTCTAGAAGGACTCCAGCATCTTGACTGGAATGGACCTCTCCAGCAGGTAGATCTTCTGTAGCCTTTGAACACGCTAACTGCAACGGCGAGGTGAGGTGAGGCAGAACCACCGACAATGACATTGTCCTGGTTCTTGGAATAACAGATTCATAAATGGTAGCAGCAGACATGTCAGCCAGGGAGAGCTCCCATCAGAAAATCTGTGTTGGAGGAGAGATTGGGGGGGGGGGGCAGTGGCCACTGATGGAACCCCTGCTTTGCATGCAGATGATCCCTATTTTGATCCCTGGCATCTCCATGTAGGGCAGGTAAAGCTCTTTCCTGAAACCCCACGCAGCAGCTGGCCGTCCACATTGACATTAGTGGGATACGTGGACCCTGTTCAGATGCAGTAGATGGTAGATGTATTTTATTACAGTCATTTGACGTACATTCACATTTCAGCTTCCGTTATATAGAGACCAGAATGAGAAAATTCAGTTGGATATTAAAACAGGATTCCTAGCAATATATCTTTAGGATGTTTAAAAGATTTCAAGACAGGCTCAAGATTTCAAGATAGGATTTCAAGATTTTCAGGACAGATAACTAAGAAAGAACTACCAAGAAAGACTGATTCCTTATATGTAGACCATGAGCATAACCATCTTCAGACTAAGCATTCAAAAAATTAATGTTTACAATATTTCGTAATAGATTATAAATTTAAACTAATAAATTAATACAGATGGATGATTTCCTTGTAAATTGATTTTTTATACTTTTGGTTTTCACATACATGAACATAATATGGAAGGAAGCTGTAATTTAGATGCTATGAACCAATCTGAGGGAGGTGACATCACATTAGTTTTTACATTCCGTCGACAATCACTTTGTAGAGGCGCAGCCTTACTGATTGCACCCTTGGTGCTTGTAAAGCTCCAAATTTAGAGGCTTATGAGCATCCAGTGGAGAGTGAGAAAAGCAGAAGAGGTAATCTCCACCTCCTCCCTTCTCCTGCTCTGCAGTTCAGGTAGACGGCTGATTTCAGTGACCTGGCTGCAGAGTCTCAGGGGGGAAGGAAGGAGGCTCAAGAGCAGTCAAGGTACCTTATATCCTGGCACACCATCCCTGCCCATCTCCTTTCCACCCAATATACACTTATGGAATGCGCTCCCCAGAGAGGTCTGCCTTATTTGTTTTTCCAAGACCTTTTTATTTCAACAATATTTTAATAATTGTTAATATTATTTATTGGTTTTAATTTCTACAGCCAGGGAGAATCCGGATTTTGTATGTATTATTTATATTATTATTATTATTATTATTATTATTATTATTATTATTATTATAACATTTCTATGCCGCCCCTTGCCGAAACCTCGGGGCGGCTTACAACATGATAAAATACATTGAAATACAATAGTACATAATAAATTACCATTAAATATAACAATACAAAAAATACATTGATTTACAAATACAAAATTAAAAGTATCAGTATAAAATAAAAATATAGGAGGAGAAAGAGAAGGAAGAAGAAGTTGCCCAGGCCAGATCATATGTTTTAACAATTGAAATGATGTTTAAATAAAAAGGTCTTTACCTGGCGCCGAAAAACCAGTAACGACGGTGCCAGGCGGACCTCTTTGGGGAGTGAATTCCATAGGTTGGGCGCCACCGCAGAGAAAGCCCTCCTCCGGGTACTTACTCTCCTAATTTCTTTCATGGAGGGTTCCCGGAGAAGGGACTCTCCCGCAGATCTCAAAGGGCGGTCGGGCATATACGGACGTAAGCGCTCGTGCAGGTAGCCAGGACCCAAGCCGTTTAGGGCTTTGTAGGTCATAATCAACACCTTAAATTGGGCCCGGGCTTCAATGGGAAGCCAGTGAAGCTGATGGAGGACTGGAGTCATGTGAGCATAACGCCCCGTCCCCGTCAGCAACCTGGCAGCTCTATTTTGCACCAATTGAAGTGTTCGGACTGTCTCCAGGGGAAGCCCCACGTAAAGCGCGTTACAGAAGTCTAGGCGGGAAGTCACCAGCGCGTGTGTCACCGTCGCCAGGCAGTCGTATTCCAGGTAGGGGCGCAGCTGATTAATCAGCCGAAGCTGAAGGAAGGCGGTCCTCGCTACCGCTGTCACCTGAGCTTCCAAAGAAAGCTCCGGGTCGAGGAGTACACCTAAGCTGCGGACCTTATCCCTAAGAGGGAGTGTTGCACCATTCAGGACCAGGTCAAATCCACCCTCTCCGAAACCCGATCCGCCAACCAACAGGACCTCCGTCTTGTCTGGGTTGAGTTTCAGTTTATTGGCCGTCATCCATTCCCTTACCTCGGCCAAGCACCGGTTCAGCACAGCCACTGCCTCACCTGGATTAGTGGAGAATGAGAGGTAAAGCTGGGTATCATCAGCGTATTGATGATTCCGCAGCCCACACCTCCTGATGACCTCTCCCAGCGGTTTCATATAGATGTTAAATAGCAGAGGGGATAGAATGGAGCCCTGTGGTACCCCATGGCATAGCTGCCATGACGTAGAGACATGGTCCCCCAGCACTACCTTCTGGAATCGACCGTCGAGATAGGAGCGGAACCACTGCAAAGCAGTGCCTCCAACCCCCAATCCCGCAAGTCTATCCAGAAGGATACCATGGTCGATGGTATCGAAAGCCGCCGAGAGGTCCAGAAGAACCAACAGGGATGTACTCCCCCTGTCCTTCTCCCTGCACAGGTCGTCGTACAGGGCGACCAAGGCAGATTCAGTACTGTACCCGGGTCTGAAGCCGGACTGAAAAGGATCCAGATAATATACTGTTTATTTATTATGTTGGAAGCCGTCCCGAGGCTTATGAGACTGAGATGGCATATAAAAGCTCCAAATAAGTAAATAAACCGCCTCTTTAAAGTAAATGTTCAGGTCAAAGAGAAGTAGCTTGTACGGGTCTTTCTGTGCCAGCTGCAAGAGACATAGGTGGAAAGATGATTGCATGGATCCCCAGCTCCAAGTTCAGGGCTTTGTTTCTTTTTCTTTGTTTCCATGCACCTGGAAATCGAGGGTTCATAGGATTCCTCTTGTAGCTGCAGTTTGTGCACATTTCAACATCAGATGTGTCAGTGCAACCTTCCAAATAAAGTAATAATAATCTTAATCCTTCATTTATAATATTGCACCCCATCATATGTTCAACACCATATAGTGCTACCTGCTCAGTGCTTTTGATTCTATCACAGCTCCAAAATGCATACCTATTTAATGTATGCAGTGTCAAATAGCACTGATGGACTGTTTTGCTTTGTTGCAAATAAATTTTTGTTTCAAACTCGCTGCAAACCAAACTTACCTGTACTGTGTCCTTGCCAGAACCACATCTTTTCTGTGAAGGAAATATCCAGGTTCCTTTCCTATTCTTTTATTTTGGACAAATTGTATATATTTCTCCAATGCATCCTTTCTTTACTGAAGCATAGTAAAGGCATAGTTCCCAGCAGCAATGTATTGTTGTGCATTACGTCTGTTCTAATATAAGGTCTTTTGTGGTGATCTGCTCTTGAATGGATAAGTTAAACCCATTAGAATTACAAAAGATTTACAAAAGATAAATATAGTATTGCATACACAGAGAGGGAGAGAGCATGCAACATTTTTGAATTTTTGTTGGGGTTGAGGCTAGAGGGATTGTAATGTTGAACACCTGAATTTACTATTATATCACTGGTGCCGTACAACTCCAAGAGCCCTTCTGACACTCAACAAATGTAGAATCATAATAAAAATCGTAATGTAATTGTAACAGCAGTGCAGTCACTAAAATAGATGTTTAGGCTTCAGATCTCTGCTCTTAAAAGGCGTTTACTAGTCTGGGCAGACAGTCAAAATAACTACAGTGCACTGTGGATTTTCAAAAAGAGAAAATGATGGTGGAGCCCAGAAGTCTCGCTGCCTTAATGGCAAGATATTCCAAAATGCAACATAGTGTGCGATAGGGGCTTAAAGGTATGTCTTAAGAAATGGCAATAATGCTCTCTATTCTTAAAGTGGGTTTCTGTTTTTGTTTTTTGGCTCTTGCGCTGGAAATGGCCCAAGGTTCTTATAACATCTCCATCCCATAACGTCTACCTCTGAAGGATGCTGGCACCTAACAAATTATCCAATAAGATTGTCAAACATCTTTTGCTGGAAACAGAAAATAAATGTGACAAAGGTAAATATCTAAAATGTAAAGCCTGCACCAGAAGGACTGATGCAGTCAAACCTGATAAAGGCTGATTGCGCATTCCTTTGCCATTAGTCAGCCGCTTTCTTTAATAGATCAGGGCTTTTTGGACTAGTTTCTGGCCTCTGAACTCTTTCGTTTGTACCTTTTAGGCATGCTGGGGATGTCAGGTTCCTATTAGCTAATTGCAAACAACTTTTTTAAAAATCCCATGTTTCCCCTTCAGTGCTCATTCACAGGCTAACGAACACATCAAATCTGGTGAGAGATTATTGCTTCACCATATATGATGCAAATCAGATTCCTTTCTGTATCCGTATTTGTACAAAAGAACCATCTGGTTCAGATGTTAGGGAACTGTGCTTGCAGTTACAACTTCTGGATACGTAAGCCTTCCTTAGGCATGATTGGCACAGAAAGTACATTTGCAAGATGAGATGGGAGATCTTAAAAATGAGGCTGCAACCTTTGATTGGTAAATTAATCAACTATTGCTTTCATTGATACATTGGTATGTGACACTTCTGGCTGTAAATTAGAACATACATTTTATTCTTAGAGAGTATTTTGGATTTGGAATGTAACAGAACAGGAAAGATAAAAATAAGAAAGATTATAAGGAAACATCTTATAGTTCCTTCATTGCCTAAAAGTGGTGCCTCATCTGATAATATTAACATAAATTTTAGTTAAAAGGCAGATGAACAATCAGCTAAAATATTTGTGATCAGTTGACGTTTAAGAGGAACATTCTTACAAGGAAAGGAGAAGGAAACTATTCAAAATACCCCAGTTAACACAATATATGTATACTTGGCAAACCAGAAATACCACGCCTCTTTTATCAATGCCTGAAACAGCAGGGCTTAAATTAGTGCTGAAACAGCAGCAAAATCACACACACACAGACACACACACACGAAGTTTTAATAATTTCATCTCTGAAAAAAGTAAAATGAACAAACGCATCTAGCAACTTTCAATCTTTGGAAACCTGATGGTTCTGTTTGTGAACCAAACTGACTAGAGGCCCCAGTTTCAACATCCTGAGATGTTTCGTTCACAGATTGTCACTACACATCTGTTTTGCATTTCATATGCATTTTAGTTCTGTGTTATCTGTGATAGAAACATGTGTAATGACAGAGCTATCGTCCTTACAGTTTGGCAGATAGGAATATCTGCTTTGGGATAAAGAGCTATTGGCCCATAGGAAAAGTCATTTGGTGGGTGGGGGGCGGGGGGCGCTTGTGGTAATGGAACTGGTGGTGGGTGAAGCTAAAACAAAAGAGGGTAGAGGCACCTTTCTCTCTCTTTCTGCCCCCCCTTTGTCTCTCACATGCACTGGTCCTCCTATTCCTCTTTTTCTCTTTCTCTTCCTGTTACCCCCTTTTCTCTGTCATTCTCTCTCTCTCAGAATTTGGGGCAGACAGAGGTAGCCCTGAACCATTTGTTCCAAGTGAGAATATGAAGGATGAGGAGAAACTGCATTCATGCTGAGATGCTTCTCCTTCTCATTGAACAAAGAAACTGCCCTTCAAATCCACTAGATCTGATTATCTAAAACTGCAAGCTGATCAAGCTGTCTTTATAGCCTACAATGTTTTGCAGATATCGATCACAAAAGAAAGCAGCTGCGCTGAAATTCTATAGAAATAGTTCCACAATGCAACATGACTAGACTGAAAGTGGATTTCAGACTAATTAGGACTGACTAATGTCCTCCAGTCCCCAAAAAGGTAACTTGAAACTTCAAGGGAGTTCCTTGGTTAGCAGAGCCAGCTGCAGAGAATGTCATGATTCTTAGCTGTTGTTCTCTCATAATCAGTGTCTCACCCTTAAACCTCTCATGGCCATTTCCTCCTCAGAAAAGATCTGGTTTCCTATGGTTTTGGGAACTCTTGGACTTTCTGCCTCCTCCTCCTTTATCTCTATCTGCCTTTGGTTGGTTCTTCATACTTATCTTTCCCCTCCTCTTCTTCAGCTGAATCTGAATCTGTTCACATGCTTCTCTGAAGGTCCTCTGCAGAATGGACAGGCCCAAACCCTGCAGGGCATCTCATAGATGGGTACCACTGCTTCCTGCTTATACTCAGATTGAGGAGATTGGCTGTGCAGCTTCTTGTGCTCCATCACAATGGACAGGGCTTGGCTGAGCTGAATCGGCCCCATGAGCCTGTATTTAGGTTGCTTTGTGTGTAGAAAATCAGCTCTATTCCAAACACAGAGCAAATGGAAGCATTTTGTCTGCTCCTTCTTCCAAACTGTACTATCTGAGTGTCCTTTCCAACATGGATGCTTAAGTAGAAGGGCCAAAAAGCCCAGAGGGGTCTAGAAAGACCTGTGGGCTACAAGTTTCCCATCGTTGCCCTGTGGGTACGGGCTTAGGGTGGCCAGGTTGTTGCAATTTGGAGATTCATCATCTAGCTTTATGTTCTCCGATATAGCAGGGAATGAGGCAGTTACTGCCTTGCCTGCTTAGTTTCCCCATCCTGCCTGCAGTAGAAGGCCAGCCCCCAGAAGTACTTTATGACATGTAGAGAAGTAGCCAGGGAAGACAATGACCAAGTAACATGCAGGTGAAGACACAGCTGCATTTTCTCTTCCTGCATCAAGGAATTTACACATCTGATCCAGATCTTCAGGTTGCAACCTGGTAGGTCTAATGATGTAACATGGTTGTTGTCTTCCTTGAGGCCAAGATTTAATTCATTTCTAGTTGCCTAAGCTCTCTGGGTGGTTCATAAAAATTAAAGAGCTAAAATGCAACACAACAAAATATAGCACAGCAGCTTTAAAGGAACAATCCCATGGCCCCTAGACATTACTTGTGGGGGGATGCAATATTTCAGATTTCCATCTGACTTTGCACTGGAGTTGGCACTCTGACCTCAGAACTGGGAATTAGAGCTCTCCCACCCACCCACCCTTTTTCCCCTTGCAGCCGACATGGACAGAGCAATGCAAGATGCTCTCTGAAATCAGAAGAGTGACCTTGGACAGGGGTTAAAGGGAGCACTGGGGAGGAGACATGGAGAGGGCAGAAATAGCCTTCTTTCCTCCCACTCTGAACTGCCATAGCTAGGTGGCTAAAAATGGCCTTCAAGTGAAGATGCGGAAAGGAAGGAGTGCGGAAGGGAAGCTTGCCTCCACCATCATTGGGTGAGCATGTGCATTCAACTTTGGAGGTTCACACTGATCTCAGTTGGACTGCACCCTAAAAATTTAAAACACAATAGACCAAGAGTTAAAAAGTAATTAAAGCTTAATTACCATATCGCAATGGTTGTATATGCTACCATATAGAGAGGAACTCACACTCAGGAACAGATTATGCTGTGCTTCGGCCTCTTCAATTTGGTACATTCCAGATTGGATCCAGGGCTTTTCAACTTGTTCACAAATGACAATTATGAGCAAAGGTAAGGCAGTCCAGTTTGCGAATGACAGTACTTTATTTAGGATGGCAAGAACAAAAAGGGTATCAGAGCTCCAGAAGGATCTCCCCAAATGGGGGAAATGAGCATCTAAACTGGGGGAATGGGCATCAGATTGGTAAATGTGGTTCCAAGTCAGCAAGTGTAAATTTATATTGCACATCGGCCAAAAAGCAAAAGCAAACAAAAGCACCCCCGCAACACAACTTCACACATAAGCTGATGGGATCTGAGGTGCCAGTGACTAATAGTCACATTGACTGAAGATGATGGTAGTTGCAGTCCAAACACATCTGGAATGTGATGCATTGCAGAAGACTGCTGTAGATTTTCATTAGCTCAAATGACACTTAGGTTAAATGAGGCGGCTTTTCAGTCGGGGATCATTTCATGTGCTCTACTTGGAGGAAAAAATGCAAACTTCACACAGAAAAGGACAGTGACACTGGCTTAAGAGCTTCCTTGCAGTGCTGGAAGCAGAGTAGAAATCCTGGCTTGTGGACAGTGGGTTTCTATTCTTTCCAGTTACAAAGTTTTGTGCAATTATTCTGCCTGTTTGGTTTTTCCTAATGAACTTTCTGCAATAAGCACAGAAGCAGGAGCAGAAGGAGAAGCTGGAACAGAAGTGAGAAGATAGAGGGAAGATGTCATTTTCTGTTCCCCTCTCTCCATAAAATTCCGTGACAGAGGCAGGACAAGGCACAAGAAGAGCCTTACCTGGAAGCAGCATTTCTGGTATGGCTCCTCCCAGGCAGACAGAGCATCCCCCAGTTGTGTATCGGAATAGGAACTCTGGTCAGGTGCAGCCCACTGAGGCAGCAACAAGCTTTTGCCAGAGTTTGCTACAGTTCTTCAAAATCTGACTCAAGGACAGCCTGCATTGAACATGTATGTCCAGTTTCCTGATGCCTGAAGTTAGGCCTATAATCAAAAGAATTGTGAAATGGAATATTTCAGGTAAAAGTCCCTAATGTCTAGTAGTTAATTGCATGCACATATTACAGAAGTCATTCACAGTCAGTTTAACTTCTCCTTATTCTCAACTCATGTCCAAAATTCTTAAATGATAGCAATGTGCTGTCTCACTGGAACTGTGGAAGGATAGGTTCTCCTTTACCGGGGGGGGGGGGGTGTCAAAGCCCCTGGAGAGTTGCCAAAACCAATGATTGCTCTTAGGCTAATAGCATCCATGAGATAGGAAAAACCAGATCCTAAATTAGTTTGCTTGAAGTCACTGACTTGATTAAAACTACTCACCCAATGCAATGCATACTTCATAGTTTTTACCCCAGTAGCCTGGCAGCTCAATCCATCACCCAACTGAGCTGAAGCACCGAAGGCAGGATGTGGAGAGTGACAGTGGAACGTGATACAGGTTTACTTTAATCATATGTCTTCCAGTTGCTAGAAGGGCAATTTGGAGGCTTGCCCATTGCTTTCAGGTTCTGCCACTGGGACTCTGTGGCTATTATTTGAAACATGGTGCTGGAGGAGAGTTTTGTGAATACCCTGGACTGACGGAAAGATGAAGTGGGGCCTAGATCAGACTGAGCCAGAGCTTTTCCCAGAAGCAAAAATGAGAAAAACTGAGTCAGTCATACTTCAAACACATCATGAGAAAGCAAGACTCCCCAGAGAAGACAATCATGTTAGGCAAAGTTGAAAGCAGAAGACGAAAGAGAAAGCCATATATGAGATGCGTGGACTCCACAAAGGAAGCCCAGCCTTGAACTTGGAAGAGCTGCATGGAAATGTGATGGACAAGACATTTTGGAGGGCTTTCATTCATAGCTTGAATGTACTTTAATGGTACATAAGAACACACACCCATGCATACTCTTTTATTGTAACTTTTATCAGAGGGCTAGAATAAAGTAATTTCAGACAATTTTGCCAGCCTAGTTTGGTAATTCAGACTCAGTGTTGTTACTCAGAAATTTCCAATGCTCTTTTAAATCCAGTTTTTAAAAAATAGTCCAAAGGCACCTGAAAATAATGAGGCTTGACTTTGCTCAGATAACATTAGACAGGAACACACACACATCCTTTCTTTTTCTACAGGGATGGGAAGCTATAGAAATACATACATAGCTACCCCATATGTCTAGTCTGAGTCTTGCTTTCCTGTAAATGTTGATGCAATCAGAATGTAAAATCCATATGGTGTTTCCAGGTGAGTCCTTCTCATGCCATTGTCCTGCCTCATTCATGGAATGGATGAAAGGTCCAAAAAACATCCTGGTCCACTTGCAGCCCACTGCTTCTTCTGTTTTTGTTCTTAGCATAGAAAATTCCTTAAGGAGCACGAGACAGACTTGTTGCACAATTCCTTTGAATCTGCCATGCTTGGGAGCCTTCCATCTGGAACCGCCCATACTGACAAAGCCTGCAATGCATGCAACACAATTCTGCTGAGTTTTAGTGTTGCCGCTGTAGACTTTGATGGTCTAAATAATAGTTCAGTTTTGTCTTTGAAGATTCTTTCCATGTACTTGGCAGGGAATGACTTTTTCTTGGGAATTTTTGTCTCCAGGATTTGTGCTGAGCAACAGTCTAGTCCTTGTAGTTAGGAGGAGTTTACAAGCCAAAGTATCTTTGTTGTGGCAAACCACTTCCTGTCTCCCTCCTTCTCTCTCTCCCCCCTTCTCTCCTCCCTCTTATTCTCCTTCTCTCTGCTTTACACTTCCTTTAGAAGTACAGAATAAACCCTGAATATCATCCCAAAGTAGAGCTTTCTACTTTTCTCCAATCAAGACTCTCAAGTCCAATTATTCTGGATATGCTTAACCAAGTCTCACACCACAGCATGAGATCTCCATTTCCCAATGCCAAAGGATGCAATTAGATCTTAAATCATGTATTGTTTTGCTCTCTCCCTTCCTTGAGCAAGAGGCAGATTTCACAAAGTAAAGCTGTAACTGAAACCCTAGCTATATGAACTTACTTGAGAGTAAACCACCTTCAACTGGGGAGGCTTCCTTCTGAGTAAACATGCATAAGATTGTGCTGCACATTTCCTTTGGAAGAAAGAGCACTGGAAATTGTGGACCCTTTGTAACATTTTACACTTCATCTGGATTTGGATGACACAATAAGGTCAGAGGTGGCTATGGAACCCCATCACAAGCCATGGCTTTGTAGCCATGAATGAGCCACCCCATTGGCTGGGAGTAACACATTTGGCCAGCACTCTAAGACACACTGGCTTTAAAGCCACCATGGCTTACCAAGTCATGTGAACTTGATCACTCTGTGTGTATTTGAAAGGGGGGAAAGGAGCCAGGCTGCAACAATAATCTGAGCAGAGATACAGGCAGGCAGGTAGAGGGATGGCTTAGAGCTCTAGCTGCCTAGAGATGCCATGAAACAGGCAGCAGATAAATGTTTTAAAAGCAAGCAAGCAAGCAAGCATATGTTTGTGAGGCCACCTCTCTAGAGATCTGACCTGGGGCAGTAGAATCTTTGGTAGTCTTTAAGCTACGTCCACCTTTGCTCATTCTGTATGTTTGTAAATAAATAAAAACACTGCCAAACAGCCATGAATCTCCATGTGCTTCTGATTTTAAGGGATTCAGCCCTGGAGATGCACCATGCCCCAGGAACCTCTCAGTGCTTGGGGAAGCAGGGCACACGTGGCCATTTCTTTGCTTTTACTAGCCAGTGATATTCGTGAATATATCTGCAATCCTCTGGATCTCTCTGCCCAACCAAATCATCATTGTGGTTGCATGTTTTGAAATAACCTCTTTCTTAAAGGGTAGCTGCCGGATTTCCAAACACAGGAGTGTGTATCCCTTGCCTTAAGGCAGCATTCGTGTTCCCCAACATGAATCACATTTCTAATCGGAATAATTGGGAACATACTTAGTTGTGTGTTATGATCTAAAACTCATTTAAAACCACATCATGTTCCCCTTTGGATAGCACATTCTTGGCCCTAAGCAACAACGGCTCAACTGTATCCCCCAGAGCTTTGTTTAAGAACCATGCCCTGCTGCATATATCCTGAATTTCAATTGTTGACATCAGACTTAAATGAGCATTTTCAAAATGTTGAATTACAGGAGCATCTCTGGAAGGGCTGTTGGGCTGCCAATAGTGTGTTAGGGAAAATGGAGCATGAAAAAGTTATGGCAGTGGACTGAAACATGAATGCTCAACAGACACATGGTGTGCCTTCTTTGAAAGACATTTCCTTCTGTTATATATATGACTGAAACTTACTCTTGGCTCAGGTTGAATTTCTTTTCATTTACCTTCTAATTCCCAGAGGCTTGCTGAAATTAGAGCAAAGCAGATAATACTAATTAGAGATCATCCCATGATGTCTGGCAGAGAAGGAAAAATGGGAGGCTTTTGTGGTGAGACACATTGCTTGTAATAATGGGCCTTCCTTTTCCCCAGATGCACTGATATCCTTTTGATCTCTATAAAGCAGAACAACACAAGACATGGAATGACACTCACGTTTCATCTCTATTTTTAATCTTACTGAAGCTGCAACACTTGGTACAGAGTTCAAAGGGACAGGAAGCCAGAGAGAGAGAGAGAGAGGCAGAGAGAGAAAGAGTCAGAGAGAGGGAATGGTCTGCAGGTTCAGTAGCACTGCACAGGAAAAAAGAAGCAGAAAAGGCATGGATATGTCTGGCTGGTCTGAAAACTCAGTGGTCAGTCATCAGCGCCCTGAATTAAAATGGGCAAATGCCTATGCAGCTGACAAAGCACTGGTGTAACATGCTCAAAGCATTATCAATTAATTAATTAAATTTATATCCCACTAATCCATAGTTCCACAGGACACTTAGCAAGCTAACAACCTTATGTTGGTCAAATGGAAATTTCCATACATTTTTCCAAGGGTGTTCCATGTTCAACCCATTACAGCAACCTAAGCAATAAGTTACCAGAGCATGGATAACTGTAGCCAGGCTGTCTTTTGTCCAGATGGGATCCCACTGGATTTATCAGGCAAAGTTGATAAAAAGTGCTCCAAGCCACATGTGCTTCTAGGGACAAAAGCACCACCCACCCACAAGCCTGATCTTCCAAGAGTGCTGTCTCCTAGAGAGCAGGCTGGGCATTAGTCCACTGGACTGACAAAGGCTGTCTTCACAGCTCAGCATCACATACCTCTTCCACTTCCTTAGTGCATCCAGATACGGACTCAGAACACCCACTGCCTCTTGGAATTGATGGAAAGGGGAGATAAAGCAATGCATTGCTCACATACTGAGAGCCAGTGTGGCACAGTGGCCAGAGTGTTGGACCAGGAGATCCAGGTTCTGGTCCCCACTCAGCCATGAAGCTCATTGAGTGGCTTTGGGCCAGGCACTCACTCGCAGCCTAACCTACCTCAAAGGGTTGTTGTTGTGAGAAGAATCTAGTTAAATTGCCCTGGGTTCCTTAGAAGAGGAAGAAAGCTTGGGTATAAATGTAATGTAATAATACCGATAATACCTCGATCCAAATCTCCAGGTGACCCCACCTCACCTAGAAGTTTTCACCAACAGGCTGAAGTGGTACAGTTCTAGAAAAGTTATACCATTTAATTGTGCTGACTGTATAAACTGGCAAATCAGGTTTGTCCAGTTTCCATATTTCTTTTTTCTGTTCTGGGCTCATGACTCTCAACAGCACTCCACCTGAACTCACACAAGCACAGAAAACCAGCGAACAAAAGCATCTGAAACTGTTCACATTCACAAGGGAAGGCTACTTAGATCTTAAACAGTCTTTGCAAATATTGCTTCCTCTGAAGGAATCCTAGCCCTGAGTGAGTTGAAAGAGTGTGAGAGAGATAAATATGGCAAGAGATATTTAGAGAAATTGCGAAGATGTTATTGTGAAAAGCCTATTTTCTAAAGCAGCTTTTCCAAACAGGAACTACACCAAATAAATGAAAAATCCACAAACTGTAAAGCATCTTTGGTAGCTCTCCACAGGGCCAAGCACAGCCCCATGTGCATTTTCAGATGATCAGAGTTTCTCAAACAAGACATTTATCATTTGTTTGAATGCTAGTTCTTACCCCTTTTCCTCTCAGACAGTTATATTAGCGGTAATTCTGTGAAGGCAGGTCCTCAGTACACTGGCGATGGAAGCTTCCCATTCCTTGTGCCCTCCAAAATTTGCCTGTAAAGGATGTTTCTAATTAAGTGTGCAGTTTTTCAACTGCTTTCTTTAAACAGAAGGACCTGAACAATTCTTGGAGCATTGTGAGAAAGGATGAACAGCTTTTTACTAAAAGCTTTTTATTCAGGAAATGTTCCAGTCAGGAATTCCCCTTTCCCACCTCTGCTCCAATGCCCCTCTAATAAATTTGCTTTGTGGGAGAAAAAATGTTTCTAACTCACTACTAATTATGTCTGTTTTCAAAGTGCACAAACCTAAACATGCTGGCAAATTAATAGACTGCTGCTGAAGGAGAACAGTACTTTCCCTAAAAAATCTTGGACTATTTAAATAAAAAGTAGGAATAGATTAACCTGGCATCACACAATTTCTATCTATATTTGTGGTTAGAAGCTGGAGAATGAAATGCACCATTCTCCATTAGGTTTCAGTCCTGGTTTTGTTTTGTTTTGCTTTGTGGACAGGGAAGGAAATTGCTCCTTATGTCTTATTCCTGCAACATCAATTCAATACAGACTTCTGCCTAACCTCTTAATATATGTCAGATGCAAACAGCTACACTTGGTGGGCAGTCCTATAGGACTGATGCTCATAGATGGAAGCCTCCAGTTGGAAGACTTCCATTTATCCAGAACTATGTAGGTATGAGCCAAGCATGGGAAAGATGCAGATTTTATTGCCTTTCTCTTTTGTTGTAATTTGAGCTAGAGGGGTCTCTTGGAGCTGAGGAAGACATCTCAATAAAACTTCTATTGCTGTAATTCCAGTAATTAGCCATAAGCTTTTAAGAGTCCACAGCTAACTGATCACAGAATAGTTCCTTGACAAGAATCCACCTATGAACATCTGCGGATGGAGACCAAGAAGCCGGTGGGCCCAGCAGATCCATGGCCTCTTCCCAGCCTTGCCAGCTGGCAAGTCACCTTTCTTCTCTCACTATGCCCTTCCAAGGTTCTGAAGTGAGGATGGGGTGAAAGCCAAGTGAGGAATTTCTCCTCTGTAGCTCTGTCTATAGCCTTGGAAAAGAAAGTCCCAGTGGCCCCCTCAGGCTAGGGAGGTTGGAGAAATCTGCATGAAGTTTGCAGCCAGCTTTCCCCAAGTTGTGCAAATTCTGCAGACTTGTTTTACCTTAACATGTTTTTATACAAATTTAATTGTAGAAAAATACAGAAAATTAGAAAAACACGCAAATATGTGTGAATATACTAATTTTCAGGAGAGTTAACATAATATTGGGAATGTGGATCTGTGCAAATACAAATGAAGACATTTGCACGATATTCTGTTCAATCAATTAGCAGATAATGGAAGAAAACCTGACATTTGTTGACTGTAGATAGAATGGATTTTACACTGTCCATACAGCTCTACCTCAGACACTGTCTTGTGGCTGTAGGACCACATTCCTTTTCATTTTATTTTATTAAAATCCTGGCTTTCTGCCAAAAGTGTGCTCAGTGTGGTTTACAATAATATTACAGTTTTATTTTAATTAAAACATCTCATAAATTTGACCATTCCAGCAAAGTTCCATTTTAGATGGTTCAACTAGCCCAAACAGAGCATGTCAGGAATTTCTATTTGATCTAGGATAAAGAAAGGTGTTCTTTTAGAAAACAGCAAGTACAGTAGTCATAGAAGCCCCAGTATTATTTATGCATTTGGCATACACCAGCACCTGCTACTCATAGAAATATGGTAGCCATTAAATAAGTGCCATGAATTTATTATGCTGTTTATTACATTTGAGGCTCTCACAGGGAGCCAAAAATGGCTTACATGTGTTTATGTAATCTAATTAATTAACTGAAGAATATGCACATGTATAACTTTTAGAAGAACATATGCTTCATTTTTCTAATCACTTCTGGATAACAGTATAAAGCATTAAATATACTGCTTTTATTATCCAAATCCTCAATAGGTGCCAGCTGAGCAAAAGAAAAAGAGGCCCTTGGCATACTACAAATTCCATGTTTGCAGCCAATCCAACCTAAAAAAGATAGATAAAGCATGAAGTGTTACATGCTATCATTGAATGAAAAATGACGCCTGATAAATGTTGAAGTAATGGTTAGCTTGTTATTTTTGGTTTATTAGCCTGACACATGATGCTCTATGAAGAATTTTTGGCTTCCTGTTCCTCTGATCTGCACAACTAGAAAGATTATGCTCAATTCCGCCTGTCTCATTATGAACCTGACCAGTTGCTCGGATCTGCAGAAGAGCCTCTTTCGAGGGCATCATGGCCTGTAGCGGCCTGGTCATTGAGCCACACAGAAGGCTTTTCTTCTGCATTGCTCCCAGGCTGTGGAATGTGTCCATTCAAGCAGGAGTGAGCAACTTGCGGATCTCCAGACATTGTGGAATGAAACTCCTATCATCCTTGGCCAGCATAGACAGTGGCAGGCAAGGATGGGACTTGCAGTCCAACAACAAATCTATCAAACTGATCACTCTGTCCAGTTTCTATCAGAAAGAAACTGGGTAGCCATCTAAGTGGGATGGTGTGACTTGGGGTCCTGCAACAGCAGAAGGTTGGATCTGACGGCCTGCATGGCTCCTTCCAACTCTACTATTCTATGATTCTATCTATAATTCTAACAGCAGGACAGCTACTTGTTGTCCCCAAGAAGTATGATTTACCTTCACTCTCTTCACTTTCTGAAAGGACATGAAGACAGACCTTTTTCATTGAGATGCTGGATGTTTTTAGTGGCCACATATTCATGGTTGCCAGTCCATTTTCTGGCCCTATTCAATGCAGCAGTATTAACATTCAAAGACAAGTTACTCAAAGGATCATCTCCTCATCCCATATCTGCCTGCCTGAACTCTAAGATTGTGTTCAGTCATCTTTCTCTAGGAGCCACTGCCAAAGGAATGAGAAGGAAGGTGACTAAGAAGAGGGCCTTTCTGCTCTGATATCCCACCTATGGAATGAGCTTCACAGAAAGGCTCACCTGACATCTTTTATGGAATTTTTGGCACTAGACAAAGTCCTTATTTCTCCGGGCATTTTAGTCTTTCAATTTCAATTGCTTTCCCTCTGTGAAGTGCCACCCAGTGTTTTATCCCCAGAGCCCTATGAACTTGGAAGATTGCAGGCATCCAGTTGAGGGCAAGGTGAGGCCTGTGTAGTTCT